ACCACTTCAAGGGGTGGCTTAACAAATTATAGTTTCCTGATAATTTTCTAAGATATCTATTGTTGTAGGAACATGAACCTAGAGAATCGTCAGAATGTAGAATATGTACTACACAATAAAAATTAGAATTAATGAGAAAAAGAAATTTTGATTAATTCAAGGGGTGGCTTAACAAATTATAGCTTTCTAATGATTTTCTAAAATGTCTATCGTTGTGAGAAAATACTATACTCGATACAATATGCACCAGCACAATACTAAAAAAGAATTTTACAATGAAGAATTCATTACTGAAATTCATTATTGAAATTCACTACGAAATATCGAAAATAATGAATTCTCAAGTAAAAAATCTGTTTCCTACCAATCTGCCTTCTACTCAAGTACCTGATAATTGAACCTACGTTAATTACCACCTCATAACAACCACATAACAACCAACTAACAACTAACAACCTCGGCACCCTTTCTGTTTCAGGTGGTTGACGATTTCTTTGGAAGCTGAACGACATCTTGTATTAAACGAAGTCTACGGAAGGGATTAACTTCTCGAAGGGATCGCGTCACGCGGCTGTTTATTTACAAATCTTATATTGGACTAGCTTTCATCCGGTTCTGAAGTGCCATGGAAATAAAGCTTAATTCGTTGTTTGCTTCGCGACGAGTTTGGCGTCGGCACACGTGCCGTGTCATGTGACGAGCGAGCGCGACGCGGTGTCATACGCAAGCACTCAAACGACAAAGGAAAATTTAAATTCGAACACCAGCCACGTGAACTCCTTCTCAGTCGAAATCCTTTTATATCGTATTTAACGCAAATATATCGAGAAACGTCGAATAGACTGCTGAGGCATCCTCGAAGTTCGTCGACTTCGGAGGTGATAATCTGATGGGTTAATTTTATTTGAAAGTTAAAGGAACGTGGATGTAATAATTTACGATGGTTATATATTTTTCAGATATTTATGAAGAATGAATAGGAAGTAAGAATCGCAGAATAGTATGAAATTTATCTATAGGTATATAATTTCATGAAAGTCTGATATGGAAATGTTTTTCAGAACCTCAAATGACTCGGACCATTTTTTAAATTATTGTGTATAAAGAGTGACTAATAACTTTTTGTAAATTTTATTTAATGAAAACGAATTAAAGGGATGTATCTGTTGAATTATGTAGGAAGTAATAACATTAAGGTTCAATTTCTGTTTTTGTAAAGGTTGAACGTGAAACGTGGCATTTTTATTTAACAATGTTTTATAATACATAATGCATGTATATTTTAATATATTTATTAGATATAATTCTCTCTTGTTCACATATATTTTTCCATAAGAAAAAGTACATGTAAATTAAATGTACTGTAGGAAAGAAGAGGAACCAGTCCTGAAAGGAGAAACGGATCGTCCTGGTCAGACATTTTGTGTCAGTCTTTCCTAATCGACACCGTCCACATTTTCTTTACTCCTTTACTTTATGATTTAAGATTTTATTTTTTAATATTAAAATACATACAGTCAACATATGTATACGATATTTCGTTTATGACAAGTTTCACAGATATTGAGATTTCTAATTGAAAAATTACTTTTATCGAAATAAAATATATTCTACCCAGGGATATCGTAGCTTTCTCCCACCTTAAATAATTTCAAGAATCATTTCTAGTAGTTTTAGACATTATCCGCTACATATAAACAATTCTTCCTTTTTATAATATTAGAATAAATTTTTTTGATAACACAAACAATGTTTACGTCAGTCTTTATACATAGTATACATAGTTATATATATATATATAATATATATAATATATATAATATATATAATATATATAATATATATATAATATATAATATATACTTAACTACTATATACTTATACTTACTACTAATATATATATATATATATATATATATGTAAAGCGAGACGATATAAAGTCTCGTCTCGCTTTAGCTTTGCTTTAGGCAGTTAAACTATGTATGTATACATGTATGTATGTAAAAATATATGTATATATTTTTGACCAATTATTCGAACAGTTACAAATTAATCTGCCCAATCGAGCATATCCTAGTGTTAAAATTGTCGGTTTCGTTCGCCGCAGACAAATATAATTGATCCAAGTTAAACTGACCGGATCCGTCGAGGCGATAATGAGTCCGTTTTCCGAGTCGTCTCCGTGTCCGTATCGCCCCCGCAGCGAAATAAACCGGGATCGTGGCGCATTGTAAGGAAAACGTGTTGGCACACCCTCCGTCGGATGCTGCCAGACTGCTCGGTCGAAATATACGCCATCTCTCCAGAGACGGGGGACATATTGTTTGGTTCAGTAATTCCTCGCGTTATTTCCCGTGTTTGCTTTTTATCATTGTAAACTGATATATTGTCCGCGGCAACTCCCCCTCGGTGCTACGTCGGACCCTAGAAAGAGAACGGGAACGGACGCGAGACAGTCCACCACAAATTTACGGAGTTCAAATCCGCGTACCGACGGAAACGAGATTACTCGACCAACACCACTCAAGGCACACGTCGGTGTGCGACCAAACGATACGAGTGCAACCATCATTTGACAGAAGGAGTCTTACGCTTTACATAGCTCCGCTTTACGTACTTGTGCTTTACGTAGCCCCGTTTTACGTGGTCCTGCTTTACGTAGTTTCAATGCTGACGTAGTGAGCTTTATGTACTCTTTCTTTAGATAGCTTTGCTGTAGGCAGTTTTGCTTTGCTCAATTTTGCTTTAAGTAGCT